CCTTTATAAAGTTGGTCTGCCTCAGGTATCTTGTTCACAGGAAAGAAAAATGGACTAACATAGCATCACAGGCTGCTGATCTCTAGTCCTTAGATGTTCTTCTATTGAGGTCTCCTATATTTGCTGCTTCACAAAACCCTGATTTTTCTTGCTTTTATGTTGCCCGTCCCCAAAACCTATCTTCAATCTCTAGTCAATCTGATGTTTATAGTATTTTCTCTTTGCAATTCAAAAATGCCATCAAATGTATTTAAGGGACACTCTCTCATCTCACCCTTTCTTGTGTTCTGTATGGAAGGCAGGGCTCCATTTCATGGGTGAGGACTCAGAAGCTGGAACCCCAGCCACCTCCCAGGTTTCTGGGACTTCCTCTCACACTCCTCCTAGACCACCCCAACTTTGCCTTGTGAGGCAAACCTGTGGGTAACAAAAAGAACTCATATGGTGGAGTCACACTGGCTGGCATTCAGATAGATCTCAGCTCTGCCACTTACTAAGGGGTGACTTTATGTGAGGCCCTCCCTGAGGCTGGGTCCTTCTTCTCATGGTGTCAGGAGCATCATCTCAGTGGGGGCTATTGGCAGGACCCAGCAGGATCACACCCTGGCTCTCAGGACCCAGTCAGCACCAGCCCCCTTTGCTGCTCAGATGTGAAGCTTCCCTCTGCTTTTCCTCAAATCTATGTATCTTTCTGGGCAGTGGATGGCCCAGCTGTCCCCAACTCCATCCCCTGAGCCACAGACACCACTGCCCAAAGGGACTCTCAGAAGAAATTTCCAAAGCCACTTGTAAGGAAAGGACTCCCCTGGCTGGCATTTATCCTCCCAGGGACAGACATGTCCATTGCTGGGAAGATCCGGGGGTGGGATGTAGGGAGGAAGAGGACAGGCGAGTGTCCCAGTCATAGGGTGGCTAGGACCTGCTGGGGCTTCCAGGTTACTGCCCACGGAGGAGAAGAGCTCAGACTGGGGCTCAGGCTCCACCAGCTCCCACTTGGTTCTGTCAGCTTCCTCCCTCCCCACTTCTCTCTACCCAGCAGCAGGCTGGTTTCCTCCCTGCCCTGGGCAGCCCCTGGAGTTCTTACCTCTATACCTCTGCCTGTCTGGGGAAGCAAGATGAAGTGGGCAGAGCCAGCCAGGCTCAGATGGCTGCTCAGCCTCTGCTTCACCTCTAGGGACTATTTCCTCAACAGCCAAGCGGGGACACCATACCTTCTTGACAGGTTTATCAGGAGGAATGCTTGTGTGATCTTTTGGGGTGGCAACAGTGCCCTGGGGCTTATATATACTTCTGCCAGTGCCAGGCACTCTCCCTGGCCCATCAGACCCCACAGCATTCCCCTTCCCCCATGTAGGCATAGCCTGCTCTAGTTGGGTGTGGACTTGAATTGGAAACCCGCCAGAGAGAGAGAGAGACAGAGAGAGAGAGAGAGCGCTTAAAACTTACCTGCAGCAACAAATCAGACATGACAGAAGTGTTACAAGCTGGCTGTGGGGATAAGCAGGCAGCAGAGGAGCGGGGTGTGTGTGTGTTGGGGGTGGCAGCAGACAGAGGCTCAGAAAAGGAAAGAGTGGAAATGCTGCCTTTTGGTTCCTGATTCTGGAGCCTTAGGAACAAAGTATTGATGTGACAGTCCCGGGGTCCTCTGGGGATGGGAACTAGAACTACAGATGCACAGTGCCGTGTCTAAGTCCCTCTTGGCCCTTGCCTGCCTCTCCCACCGGGCTCTGTGGTTTGTGTGGGTGGAAGTTCCAGCTCTGGGCAGCCCGGAGCAGGCTCGTAGGAAGTGGCTGAAGGAGGAAGGAGTAAACCAGCTTCCGTGCTTGGGCTGTGGAGCGGGCACTTTCACACACACACAGTCCTGTCTCTCAGCACCAGTGGCCACCATCCCCTCTCCCAGCTGAGGAAGGAGAGGCTAGAGGGGTCAGCGACTTGCCCTGGGTCACTCTGCAGGGACGGCCTAGCCTGACTCTGGGCTGTTAAACAACAATGCTGAGCAACAGTGAAAAGAAGAAAAGAGAGAATACTGGGTGGCTAAGTAGTTAGCACATCCGGAGCCCGGCTTGGCTTGGATCGATGCCCAGCTACACAGAGTCGGAGCCCCCATGGTGCAGGGCCGGGCCAGCTGGAGGGACAGAGGCTGCTGCCCCTCAGCACACTTCCAGAGGCGAGGCGCCTCCTGCTGAGATCCAGGAGCTTTGGCAAACCCTGGGGGTCAGGAGAAAGGGAGTTTCCTGGGGGCTGGTGTGGACCCCTGAGAGGCGGATCTGCTCTCCCACCTGGTGTCCAGAGGCTACCACCCACCGACCTACCCTCTGCTGCTGTGTGTTTGCTGGATTCTCAGCATCAAGCTCAGCACTTCCTCTCCTTTTCCCTGATGTCCTCTCCTGACAGCCAGCTCGGGTTCCCCTAAGATGGCCTACTGATATTACTGCTTTTCTTCTTCCTGATTAATTATTTTGCTTTTGTCTTATTATTTTCCTTTTCTCTATTTTTTGGGGAGAGGCCACTACTCAACACCTAGCTTTTCTGAGTTAGGCATTTAATTCATTTATTTATAATCCTCATGGTTTAATAATTTGAAAATTTAAGGTATGACTTCGCCTCTGAATATGGTTCTGGCCACATCCTGTAAGGTTGGTAAGTAGTGTTACAGTCAAGTATTTCCCAAACAGCTGGAATTGGACTTTTGATGAACTCTTTGATGGGAGAGTTTTGAGAAGGGTGTTTTCTAAAAATTTCAAGAGGTTTACGATGTTTGGTTCTTATATTTGCTGTTAATTTCTGCAGGATGGTCAATTATGCAGCCTGTGAGAGTTCTCTATTTGAGACTCTACTGTTACTAATCTCTATGCCCTGAGGTTTTCTTTAGGGCTTAATTTTGTAAATTAGTCAATTTCTATAAATGCAATGCCTCAGGGGGTCCTATTTCTATTCTTTTAAATTTTTGACAAACATCACAACTGTATCCATCTGTTAGCATTAAGAGTAGAAAAATAATTGTTCTTTCAGATAAGATAAAACCCTTCAGCACATTTCCCATATTTCCCCTCTCTTTCCCGTCCCACTCAGCTTTGGTTGAAGTAACATGAAAATTTTGGTTCCAAGGCTGAGGCAGAAGGATCTAAGTTCAAGCCCAGGCTGAGCAACTTAGTGACTTAGCAAGACGCTGTCTAGAAGGGAGGGAGGGAGGGAGGAAGGGAGGGAGGAAGGAAAGAAAGAAAGAAAGAAAGAAAGAAAGAAAGAAAGAAAGAAAGAAAGAAAGAAAGAAAGAAAGAAAGAGAAAGAGTTCAGTGTGAAGGCCCTTTGTTCAATCCCCACTACTTAAAGAAAAATTTCTTTCGGAATTTTTACAAATTCCTCATCTTTCCTATTCAGAGCAGCCTTTTTAAATGGTCACTAAGCTTCATAGTCATGTTCTAACCAGCTTGCTGGCCATAACCTCAGACTTAAATTTTTCCCATTGCAATAATTTTTTTCTAAAATGTATCTTCCTCTTTCTTCCATGATCAAACAAGATTGGTCATGTTCAGGGTCGTATGGCCGTATTTCCCCTTCTTGAATTATCTAATATTATTAATTTCCCATTTGACTGAAATGCTTAATTAAGTACTTTTTTTCAGAAATAAAATTCCTCCCCAGGACCCAAGCCTGAGAGAGTGGAGCCTGTTTTGGGGTCCCCTGCAGCTGCAGGGCCAGCACAGAGCCAGGCACTCAGTAGGTGCTCAGTGAACGCACTTTCTCACATAGGCACCGATGACACCATGACCCAGCGCCTGCCAGTCCAGGCCCTGGCTCCTGCCCTTCCCTCCCAGCTTCCTTGCCGAGCTGGCTCCTGGGTGTGGGCACAGATGTGTGCATTGCTCCCTGCGCTTCATTTCCAGGCCCTCTTCTCACATCTGCGAATCTCAAGGCTGCGATTCCTGGACTGAGTGGACACTGGAGGTGATGGGTCTAGGACCTCAGGGTCTCAGTAGGGTCTGACCACTGGGTCCAGGACCCTGAGGTCCTTTGAGAACCTTCTGCATCCTTAGAACAATGCCCAGAGCAATGCTTAGGGTTAGGTCCATAGTGAAACTGAGGAGAAAGGCAGAGTTCTCCTGCCCCCGCCCCAGTACAGTCTCTCCAAGGATCACCATCCCCTACCATGGTGTTCATTGCTACGATGAAATGACAAAGACGTGCTCCTGCCTCCTGGAGCCTGCAGCAGCCCTAGGGCTCAGCCCTGGTGTTGGACCCTTTCCCTCTGTGGTGGTATAAATGTGACCCGTGGTCCCATCCCCAGCATCGTAGAGAGTGGCACTGCCCTCCATCTCCTCTGCACACTGCTAACCGCTCCTCTCCTGCTCTGGCCACCACTGGTCTTTGACTGTCTCCGTGGCTTGGCCTTTCCCAGGATGTTGCATAGTTGGGATGGTTCAGTGTGCTGTCCTTTCTGTTTGGCCTCCTTCAATTAGTGACATGCTCTGTGTGCTTCCTGGGCCTGTGCTGTGACCAGCACTCCCTCATTCATTCACTCAGCCTTCAGTCATTCACTCAACGCTGGGCAGCACCTGCTTGACAGGGTGCACTTGTCACACAGACGGACATTGTGGCCTCTGGTGTCAGCTCTGCAGGACTCACCCCTGCCTCAGGCCCCTCCCTGACCACACACTGCACAGATGACAGAGGTGCCTCTGACATTGCCCTGGATGCCTCTGAGCTGTTTATCCAACCAGTCACCACGTTGGCAGAGGGGACAGGGTACACAGTCCCCTGTTGGAGCTCCATGGCCAGCATCAGCCAGGTCTGGTCTAACCCAGAGTCCTTGGGCTCATCCTGCAGGCTCAGCCAATCATCCAAACCTCCCTGAGTCCACAGGCGAGAGGGCTGAGCATCGCAGACATTTCGCCGGACTCCCCAAGACTTTGCCAAGGTTGGCTCGCACCAGACCCAGGGTCACATCTGCACAGGGAGGGCTGCAAGTTCAGGACAGAGCTGGTGGCTGGCAGTATACATACCTGGTTTTGAGTGTGCCCCCCGCCCTCTTCTGGCTGCCCCGACTCCCGCCCCAGCAGGGGGAAACACAGCCAACTGCGCACCATGCTCCTGGGGCTCAGGACTAGGGAGTGTCCCCCATCATGGCATGGCTGCCAGAGCACAGAAAGGCAGAGTGTGTTTTTCTCCAGAGCAACAAGGGTGGGACCATGTCTTCTGGAGCAACTCATGCAGCCATGCAAGGTTTCCTTTCACCCAGAGAAGGAAAGGAGGTGGGATTGGCCCAGGAGCCCCCACTGCACCACACCCAGGCCTGGGCACCCACTTCCTGTGGCAGCCAGTGAGTCAGGAGGCACATCCCAACCTGTGGGAGGGCCCCGCTCACTGTCCACTCCACCCTAGATGCAGGCCACCGCCCCCTGCACAACTTCAGTACACGTGGCAGCACACAAGCAGGAGCCCACTGGCATAACCTGGAGCAGCTAAGTCGTCTCTGTGGCCTGGGACCCGGGATGAAATAACTTGTCCAACAGAGTCAGCCATGGGGAGAAAGCAGAGCTAGGACTCCAACCCAGGCCAGGATCGTGCATCTCCTCTGCCCTGAAGCCAGGGCCATCCCCAGAGGGACACCAAACCTGGCTGAAATTAAGGCACCACCACTGCGGGTCACCACACATCAGCCAACCTTGGCAAATCTTCTCTGCTGACCGACTCAATCCTTGCTGTCCCTGGGGAGCAGGCAAGCAGGGTACTTTGCAGTCAGAGAAGCTGAAGCCCAGGGAGATAACAGAGCTATCCAGGGTCACGCCAGACCAGTGAGTGGCAAGCTGTGAGTGAAGCCTGATTCTGGAGTCCACAGTCCTCGCCCATCTCTGCTGCCCTTACCTGCTCCCTTTGTTAGACTGAGGCATCCACCCAGCTTCCATAAAAATCAAATCACTGAATTGCTCTTGTTGAATTCCAAGCAGAAAACAAACAAGGCACTTCCTCCTGCCGGAGCCTTCCTCCGGATCACTTGTCAGAACTAGGAAAGGAAAGGCGCTTCCCCAAACTCCCCAGGACTGGAGAGAACCCTCCAAGGTGGAGTCAGCTCCCGCTGCCGGCCTGCCCTCCCTGGGCTGGGGCCTCCTGTCCTCTGCCACCATGAGGCCGCTGGACCACCCTTGCCCGGTACTCACCTGCACTCACCGGGTCTGGAGCAGGCTGTGTGGTCCCTTCTGCAATTCCTCCTCTGGCGGGCTGCTTGGCTCCTCAGTCTCCACCCTCAGTGGAGCCCCAGAAGTCAGTACAGCTCATCTTTCAAGGGCTGGGGTGGTGATGTCATCGACCTCCTAGGCACTTCCTCCTGCACCTCCAGCCCAGCTCCAAACCCCTGCCCAGTGCTGGAGCCAGGCTGGCAGCTGGCCCGCAGTGTTGGGAGCCCAGGCTGACAGGGCTGGCCTGGGCAGGTGACTACAGCTCCCTCCCAGCCCTGGGGGGCTCAAGGGCCAACATGCCAGAGGAATGTTCTATGGTGTAAACTGCCTGCCAGGTACAAACTCAGGCTGGCAAAAGTGTCCCAGCCAGCCACAAAGCAGCCACAAAGCAGTCTGTGAATGACCACATGAGTAAATGAGTGTAATATAACATGTATTGCTTATCATTATTTATTTTACCAACTTAACTGTTCTGGTCTGAGTTTTTGGTGTAAACAATAGATGTTTACATAGAAGGTGTAAACAGAAGGTGGCCAAGTGGGTGGGGAAGCTCTGGAGGTTTTTTTTCTTTTTTTTTTTTTGGTACCGGGATCCAACTCGGGTCCTTGTGCTTGTGAGACAGGCGACGGAACCACTGGGCTAAATCCCTGGCCCTGGAGTTTTTTTTTAAATACTGCACGCACTTCCCAAGGGTATCAGTGGCAAACTTGGAAACATTTCCCCGTTTTGTTCTCCGGTGAGCCGTGTCTGGGCTCCCCGGACACACAGGAGTTGGTCTTGGACTTTTTTGTTTAAAATCCTAAAATCCTCCTTCCGGAGGAGAGCAGATCAGTTGGAGTGGGCTGGGAGGAGTTGGGAATAGACAGGGCCAGAGCCCTGCCTGCTGTTTCTCCTTGCCCTGAACTTCTGTGAGTCAAGTCTACAAAGCAATGATTGCGTCCAATCCCATCATCATAGAGATAGGGAAACAGAGTCCCAGAAAGGCTTGAGGGGCAACCTGGGAGGCCGATGTGGCTTGGCTGTAAACCTGAGTCTGGGCCGAGGTTTGGCCCCAGTTTGTCCTGGGTTGTCCCAGCTGATTTGTCTATACCCTGGCATGTTGGAGCATGTGGGAGATCCTGGGCTGGGTCTGTGGACAGAGGCCTGTGTGTGTGTTTGCTCCTGAGGAGAGACTGTAGCCCTGGTCAGACTGCTGAGGGACTCTGTGCTGGGGGGTCCATCTGTGAGCCCCGCAAGGACAGAAGCCTTTGGAAGCCACTTCCAGCTTGGGCATGGAGAGTTTCTGTGCTATGAGATGAAAATCCTCTAAGACCTGAATCCACAGTGATATTTTGTAAATATCGCTGAAAAGCTCCAAAAGACAGCTGTCCATCTTCACATGTCTCCACCCACCATTGTCACAGTTTGTTTGTTTTTAAATAAAAATGCTGTTTTGACTCAGTTTTGAGGGCCGGTCAGTTCTCCGGCAGCGATTGAGTTCACATTCCAACCATTTCCCATCCGGGGCTCTCCCATTCCGGTCACTGTCACCGAGGGGCCAGGTACCAGCAAGGCTGGACAGCACCTGCGTCCTGGAATCATGGAAGTGTTCGGGTTCTCCAGCCCTTGGGGAGAGTGAGGAACCGTGTTCACCCCACCGCACAGCTCCAGCTTGCTGTTAGTCCGTCCCCACATACAAACCTCTGGGTGGCCCCACCTGGCAGCCTTCTCTCCCTGGGAGCCATAAGTCACAAAAGTTCTGCCTTTTATCTACCCACCTGTCATTCTGTTGGGTCCTGCCAGGAGCAGAACTGTTAAGTCTTAGAAAACAAAGACTGTTCCATTTATTTACACTCCTATCTAACCATTCCTCTATGTACTTATCCATCTCCCCCAGGTTCATCTCTCCATCCATCCACTCATCTTTCTTCCCTTCCATCCATCCACTCACCCAGGTAACCCCTGTCCATCTATCAGATACCCACAGCCCCAGGAAATGTGCTGTTGGGATTGAGCGAACGAGCACACTCACTCCAACCCCTTATCCAAGGGCAGAGCCAGGTCAAAGGGCTCCTAGGGACGCAGGGACAACATGCACCCCTCTCTATCTGGACTAGCTCATCCTTTGTGCTTTGTTTTCGCTATGGGACAATTCAGCTAAACCCTTGCTGCCGGGTCCAGCCCAGGCCCTTGTGCCCCAGTCTGACCCCTTGAAGCACAGGAGTGAGCTCTGTGCCAGCTTCTCGAAGCATACGACAAGGTTACTCTGTTGAATTTTCACAGCCAACAAAGCCATTAACCCCATTTTATAGATGAGAGAACAGAAGCTGAGAGAGGCTACTTGGCCTAATACACCCTCTGGCCACGGCCTTCCCTCAGCGCCTCACCACGGTGACAGCCAGGCTGAGGACCAAGGACGTGCTTTATGGGGCTCAGCACAAAGTGGAAACGTGGGGCCCCTTCTTCAGAAAGCAGGAGAAAAGTGCTGTTAAAGGTATCCAACTCTCAGACTTTGTCCTTTCTTCCATGGTTTCTCTCCAGGACTTGTCAAGGTGTTTTGTTTTGTTTCTTTTGTTTTGTTAATGTTCTAAGTACAGAAAAGTTAAAAATTTAAATTTTTAGCGTGAATCTTAGCACGCGTCTCCATGTTGCGTGATGCTAGCTTTAGATGCAGACATCAGCGTGTTTAATTCGTGCGTGGACTCATTGCAGTCGCGCAATTCCTATTTCACAGCTGGTTCGTGCGTGTGCGCTTCCTTCTCACCGGGCCAGGGAAACCAAGAAACTGAGTGCTCTGTGCTGCTTTCTCTTCCAGACTGAAAACTCTACCACCTCTCTTAGCACCGAGGGAGGGGTAGTGGGGAGAGGGAGGAGGAGGAAGGCCAGGGAGACAAAGGCACCCGCGTCCCGTCTTTCCCTTCCCTTCCCTTCATCTTCCCCATGAGTGTGCAGTCAAAGCGTGCCATGGGGTCCTTGGCTGCCAGTGTCTGTGGTGTTTGACATGACATCCTGCCTTCCTCCTGCGTTTGAGGTGGGGACCGTGTGGTCTCTGTGAACATGCCTCGCTTCAGCCTGGCTTTGAGCCTCTCTGGGCTCCCCGACTTCCTGCTGGGGGACCTGGGGAACCTGCTGGGGAAAGAGAACTAAGGTGCCCAGTGTGGCTGCTGGGCTTCACAGGGAGTCCCCAGCTCCGAGACTGCTGGCTTTTGACCCTCAAGACATTGGGATGTGATGGTTAATTTGCTTCCCCCCAGGGCTGGCATGTTTTATAATCAGTCCTGCCTCAGTGGTGACTGTGAATCAATAATTGCTTAAAACAAGTGACGACCAAGTGATGCCTGGTGCAAAAACCTTCACAGGAGAGATGGGGGAGGAGGGGGAGGCCTGGAGGCCATCTGTCCTCTGTCCATCCATCTGTCCTTCTGCTGCCCTGGGAGGAGGGCGGCAGGCGCTGGCCCTGGTGGGGGTGGTCGATGGTCTGGCAGGAAGCAGCCCTGGTCCTGACAGCCAGCCGGCTTCGCTTCCTAAGTCTGCTGCCAGTGGGGGAGGCAGTGGTTACTCACTCACTTCCTGGTGGTGCTGGGGCCGGCGGGCTTCCTGGGCTGGGAAATCCTCAGCCAGACGGGTGTGCAGCCTGCTTCCTGGCACAGCTCCTGCCCTCTTCTCCTGGAACTGACTGCTGGCTCTGCCTACCCCCCTCCCAGGCCCGGGATCCCTCATCATGGCCCCAGCTCCAGCGCGCAGTGGTCTGATGCCCAAACTAGAGCGCATGAGCCGCCCCATCTTCGTCAGGAGCCCAGGCTTCGGGGAAGTTGCTCCCCTGGGTGCTGGAGCTGGGCTGGGACAGGACCTGCTTTCAGCTTCTCCTCCAAGGACTCCCAGGGGCTACGTGGGGAGGTCAAGGTCACTGGGTGAGTGTTTGGGGAGTAGACGTGGGGGAGCTCGGAAGGACCCAGGACGGACCCCACCCAATCTGCTCTACCTGTCTCAAATCCAGGTCCATCTTACTGGCCATGGGAGGTGGCGAGCCAGGCCCCTGCCCAGGGCAGACACAGCAAGGAAGCGGGCCCCGGGGAGGGCCCTCTGCTACAGGCTGGCCCCTCACCTGCCCGGTGTCCAGGTCCCTGGACGCTTGTCCTTGCTTCTTCTCTGATGTCCTTCCCTGAACTCTCCGGCCCAGGCCAATGGGCCCACCACAGGAGCCCCTGCTCTGTGCAGGCTTCTCCGCTGGGCCTCACTGCTACTGCTGGCCCTGCCCTTGAAGGTCCCCTACAGCTGGCCACGGGCTGGGGTCCTCCTTCCCTCTGGCCACTCACTGTGGGGTGACCCTGTGCCTAAGCTCCCTGCCCAGCCACGTGCTTCACGGCCCCGAAGTCACCCCCGAGGAAAGGTCGTGAGACTCAGATAAGACCACTGACAGGAGGCAACAAGCAGAGCCTCAGGCAGGGGCAGGGGCTGGACAACAGGCACAGACTTGGACTTTAAGACAGTGCTGCCATTCACAGCCTGCAGGAACTTGGGCAGGAGCCAGGTTCCCCATGGGAAAGTGGGAGTAACGATGAATCGACCACAGGGCTGCTGGGCTGGCCTGGCAGGAGGGTCCACCCTCCTGCACCGTGGCCCTTCCTGGCAGTGGCTCACAAGCCTGCCTCCCATCCCATACTGTTAAAAACTCCAGAAGAAATGTGCACAACACATAGCTATGCATTTTTCAGCATATAATTTTGTGGAATTCACAACATTGTGTGCCTTTATCACTTCTAGCTAGATCCAGAGCATTTTATTAGCCACAAAGGGGACCCCATTGTACAGTCATCTCCACCCTTTCATCCCAGGCCCTGGCCACCATATATGTGAGCCTTCATGCCTGGCTTATTTCATTTTGCCAGACATGAGGTACATCCATGTTACAGCATGTATCAATGTTTTGTGCCTTTTCTCGGCTGAGTAAT